AACTGAATTAGAAAAATATTATGTAAATTACGTACAGAATTAATGCGAAACCGATAAACTGTGGAGAATAAATGGAGAAGCGAATATTTTTCTTCTATTCTTGCGTTAGATATTTGTGGAAAAATGACTGAAGGCTATTATTACACGTAAACATAGCTAAAGGAATATAAATCATGTATCATAAATATTATAAGTATTCTTTTTTTCCTTTATTTAGATAAGGTTTTATAATATATATTCGAAAAAAACCTTTATATTAAATGAATGTTGAATATATTCATAAGACAAATATTTTGAATTTTTTTATGATAAAATTGCAAAATGAATTTATAACATAAACCGAATTTTAAAAGGATACGTCGGCTGTTATTGCAATGATTTTAATCATCTAATGAAATTTTAAATATTGAAGAGATTATAATGTTAAATGTTACTATCAAGTAAGTGATAGAGCTTGCATTAACGAGTGTGCAGAATTTAATTTTCATAACTATCGATTTTCATATATTTACTTAATTAAATAAAAAGGAATAATTACGATCTAATTTAAAATTTCGTTGATGTTAAAAGTGCTTTACAATTTCATTGAATATTATATATATTTTTTAAAATAAAATTTTAAATTCAAGGATTTTATACAGAATTAGCTTAATTGAGTCCACGTGTTTTAACGTTAAAAACATTCCAATAAAAACAATTTCTGGATTGCATTATCCGGTTTTAGAAAATATTAGGAGATAAGATAATATCATTTCGATTATTTCTTTTATGTAACTGAACAATGAACATATTTTTGTTTATAGAGATTACTTGAATATTTTTATTTTCAATTCTGACATATCATTCATTTTATAGATAACTGCACTGTATTTAAATCTTAATACAATGTAAGAGAAAATTATTTTCCAAGTCATCTCCAACTAAAGATATTTCTTAGTAAACTTGTTTAAGAGAAAGCTAACATACAAAACATACAGGTTTACGTTAAAAGTAAAATTAGTTTATTCTATATGTATAAAATGAATTGCGTGTTTTATCAGTTTTTTTTTTTGCTAGAAATGTATAAAACTAAACCTGTCATTTCTCAATTAATTTTATTTTGTTTAAGACAAATATTTATATAGAAAGTCTTCTTACAACAGAACAAACATTCGCCAACTTCTGTTTTCGTCAGATTTTTAATTACTCTTTATTATCAATAAGTTAGATGCTATTATTTAATTACTCTTTACGAAAATAATATAATAATCATTCGAACAATGAACTCAAGCTACACAAATAGACGAAATGCTATTTCGTTTTTAAATTCCGGTTTCTTCGTGGATCAAAGAATGGGTCACACTAACCTACCATAACCAAGTGGGCTATTGTTCGACCTTTATATATTCCCAACGCCATCTGGCAACGTTAAATTGTTCCAACAGTAGTATTTTGGCATCTGTTTCCATAATTCCGTCTGAAATAACCGTATCTACAATTTATATATTTCAATTTGAGTTTATGAACTTGTGGCTGACCCGAAAACCATTAGGAGTTTAGGTTTTGCCTATTTTTAGATAACGATTGCTTAGAAGAACTCTTTTGTTTTAAAAACTTTTCTAGATTTAAATGAATAAATCAAAATATATTCATTTATATAAAGTATCATAAACATGCTGCCGAAGGTAAACATGTTTTAAAGTGGTTTATAGAAAATACTAGAAGGAAAATCAATCACGATCCGAAACATAAAAAATAAGTCAAGAACAAGATTGAATTTTGTTAGTGAGATAGGAAAGAAAAAAATGACGGATATAAATTTACCTTGTGGTAGTAAGACGGCAAATCCTTATTTTTACAAACAATTTCGCCGACTGTCCGGCTGAGTAAGTCAACTTCACCCAACGCTCAAAGACTTTCCTCAATGGACCAACCATTCCACGATGGGGGAGAGGCACAGTCCTTCTCTATGACGTATGTCTACCCCCCAATTTCTGTCGTCTTTCTAACTTCCGCTCTGTTATTCATACGAGACTGGAAAGGTTCACTCGATTTGAAAAGGGGGAGAGTAATGACTAAGAGGTGAACACGCTTAGGTGCACAGAAGCCGGTGGGACTAGACAGGTGGTACGTCAGTTCAACCGCTTTTGTATCATGAATGATGGAAGTGACACATCATAGTGTTAACATAATCATACAACTGCTAAAATAGCATACGAAATGGCTAATTCTACTTAGCAGACGCTCAATTGAAAATAATTGATAATCTTTAATAGCCGAGATGAGTAATGTTTGGCATTCGGTACCGGAAATGATCATTCGAATTACTACTTCCATCAAGAATCTCTAAACATAAAAATAAATTATAGGAAAAGTTTTACTGTAACTTAATTGGATAAACAACCGGATGCGAGGAGGGGCGTTGGTACGATTTCCGGGTAGCATTTACAGTAGTGATTTGTACCATTATATCCGACGATAATAATTTAGAAGGCAGGACCCTCTTCTAAAACAACGTGTTGCAGATCCAATTTCCTGGCCCGAACAACTGGAAGGCAAAACCGAATTTCGCTTACTTATCAGAGGAAGAAGACAGCGGACTGTAATAAACTGGAAGAACAAAAATAGCCAAAGGGCCCGAGAAGTTTTTCTAGTTTAAAATAACTTTGTAGAATCTAAAATGTTTCAAATTACATGGAAAAACTCTAGCATTCTTACAATAATACCACTTTTTAAGTACCGTTTTCAAAGTATAATCTCTTGAAATTTCAGCTAAAATTTTACCTTACATTCTGAAAGAATTTTAATCGTAATTCACGCTACAGTTTCTCTCCTTAAGCAGAAATATTGGAAAAATTTCACGCTTCTAAACTTATAGGAAAATATTTATTAGTGGTGGGAGGTTTTCTCATAACCAAACTGCTACTGGCAGTTTAGAAAATTTGCTAACCCACGCGTATCATTAATGTCGCAATGATTTGATTCATAAAGATATATTATCGGGTGTTCTCAAGGTTAAATGATACTTAACTAGAATTCTATAAAAATTAAATATGAAGAAATTCGTAAGTGACTAATATCTGATTGCGTGCGATAAGTATGAATTATTGTTATAACCACGTGACTTTAAAGCGTATCAATGTTATAGTCGCACGTGAAAGTGTAACGTAAATCCAAATAACGACTTTCGGTAAAGGAATTGTTCTTATTCCAATTTTTATTCCTCTTTAAATCTTATCTGAGCGATAAAGAAGCTAGAATTGAGGCCATTTTTCATTTTTACAATGCAGTAATTCAATAAAATTAGCTGAGCAAAAATTTTTTTTCTTTCACTTTAATAATAATAACAATATAATAAAATCATGTTAATAATAATTTAATTAAGTCGTTTTTTATAAAAATAACTAACTAATTAGATTAATCGAAAACGTAATTTTCTAATAATTAGAAATAATAATTAAATTTTTGATAATGTGAAAAATCAATACCAGATGGCAACTTATTTTCTTAGTTAAATAAATACAGTACTATTATTACAGTTTTAGTATACACGTTTCCAACGAAAAAATTAAATAAAACTTTATATTTTTTAACCTATTTATCATTTATTATTCGTGGTAATCAACCCACATAAATTCAAACTTCGGTTATTGTGCCTAATTAAATTTAATTTGCCATGACCCATTCATTGCAAGAGAAATAGGATAAAATATTTATATAACAAAACTTTAAATGAATAAATATGTTTACTTATAAGTTTAATGCATATTCACTATAACAACATTTATAAGTAAACGTTACAAAGCTAATTCCGTTCCATAAAAACAAATCAGAAATTTACATATTAGAAAGGAAAAGCGGAAAGATTATTTATTCTAATCTTAATTAATTTTGAAAACGGATAATTAAATATCTATAATAATTGATTATACCTGATTTAATTTCACTATAAAATAAACATTTTCAAAGTATATTAAGCGAAATATACAAACTTTGAATTTGTTTTAATTATAATTCACCTTCTTATAATTACTTTCTGAATAATCCATTTCGAGTTAATTATAATTAAAATATACGATTTTTTCCTGCATTAATAATAATTAAAGTTTCCAGTATGATGGAGAGATGCGCCATTTTTGTTTTCTTTTTAATCTTAGTTATTTTTCTCCTAACGGCTTTAGTAATATCATCCTTTTTTTATTTGTGATATGATTAAAAATTAATTTAAACAAGATTTAACGAAATTTGAATAACTAAGATATTCACACTAATAAATCTTTATTAGTTTTCTTTTTATTCCCACGGTATAACGGTGTTTTAAGTGTGTGTAAAGTAATAAAACTTAATGAAAAAACGAAGATGAAAATTCGAAGCGAAGGTTATAAAACAGGGTCAGGAAGCAGAGATACTTGCCAAAAAAGATATTTCTATTCAGTAATTCAATGTAATTGACCTACAGAAAGTAGCAATGACTCAAAAATAGTCCTATTAAATAAAATATACGTATTTAATATATAAGCAAAAAGAAGAAATTCATAAATAAAATAAGAATAAGTTCTTTGTGGTATTTTACTTTCTAAAGAGATGAGAAAATGCGATATGATAAGTATGTCCGAAGCTTATGTATAATTCATCATTGCCAACTCTTAGAGACTTTATATCATGAGATCGCTATAAGAATGAGTCCATCTGTCCATCAACCGATTAGGATAATAAAATTGATGTTGAGGTTAAGGATTATCCTGTCATCAAATTTGGTTAAAGAGACATTCACATTTTTTGCGCTCTCTTTCTGCCAATCATAATTCTTTTAAGAGCAATTCGGAGCCTCTAACAATGCAAAAAGTTTGCTCAATTTATGATCTCTTTTCATTACATATTTATCGCGAATTAATAGCGATTTAATAGGCTACATAACATTTAATGTCTAGCTTATCAGATAGCATTAATACGTTACCTAAGAGACTAGTAGTGCTGTATCGATGCAATGCACGTGGAGAATTACTATGCTTGCTAATATTTAAAGTAATTTTTTAAAGTTTATTTTAGTTAGTTGCCAAGATGTTTGAAGCAATGGCTGGTTTATTTGTTCATTCATCAGATATTCACTTATTTTTAAATGTGATCAGTGGTATATTAGTGTTGCACACTGAAGATTGTGCAATTCTCAGATTATGTATGGCCACATATCTCAATGCTGCCCATCAGTTTAAAAACATATTTGCTACTAATGGGTACATTGTTTAATTTATGTTTTAGCAAGTTTCCAAATTTGAATTTTTCTAAAATTAAAATGAATATTTTAATTATTTTAGTTATCTGTTGATTATGCCGACTATTTTACGTATTTATTCCAACCATCAAACTAATGGTCTGTTATGCAGAACAATTGAATTTATATGTAAACAGTTCTTTATAATGCATCGTAAGCCTTTCATTCTGCAAGTATGTTGAAAAACAAATATTTATTTAAATATCAGTTTGATAATGTACTTAATAAATAAATTTTATAGATGTTTGGAAGTGTTGCACCAATTTTGGATATGGATTTGATGAGCAGTTATGGAGACGCAAGCAAAGTAAGACCAACTGTTTAATTTGACAGATAGTTTTGTTAATTTCTTAAATAATAGGTAATGGAAACGTTAATTTTTATTCTAGGTTCATCCAAAATCATTTTTTCAATTACTACAAAGCTTAGAACAATATGTAGTAGATCCTCTAGATATACTAGAATTAGTGGATATTGATAAACCACTTCGTGCTTTGGATTTCTGTTATCAGTTAGATCCCGATACTCTTTCAGTCCTTGATGCCATTTCACTTTGTGTAACAGTTGTTTGTTATTCTGCAGATTCTGTAAGAGGTCATCAGATGCTGGTAAATAATAAATTTCATTATCATACTTTTAAAAGCAATATTGTTTTTATAGATTACTAGATATCCTACAAAACAAATATTTATATATCTATAATATACAGTGGTGCCTCGTATAGCATACACCTCGAATAACGGACACTGCGAACAACAGACTTTCTGTTTGGCCGTTAAGTGACTCCAGCAACAGACTGGCTGCGAGTAACAGTCTTTCCATTTGGCAGTTACATGAGGCGAACAACGGACTTTCTGCAAACAAGTGCGAATGATGTTTCCAATCTTTTGCCGTTGCCAATGACAATCTGTTATTTTTATAATATACTAGCTTACCCGTTGCGCATTGCTGCAATCTCAGAAGAAAGGATATTCAAGCAAACTCGTTATGATAAAATTAAATTTTCATTTTATCATTTTTATTGAAACTTATTATTATTATTATTCATTTTCATTGGGAAAACATTTCAAAGTGTCGTTTCAATTCTATTTATTTATTGAAGTGCTTGTGGATACACGATATTTTTTGTTTTTCCGTCTGGTGTGTACACGAATAAATCAGAAGGTTTTCCGATGCAAGCCGGCCACATACAGTTGTCCATGCGAGAAGCACGGATTCTCCAAATTTAACCCACACACTCGCAGCGATTGTCAGAAGTGCGATATTTCTCATTTTTATATATTTTTTAAAATTCTTTATAATTTTCATTATTTAATTGCTCCTTCCTNATGCTTGCTAATATTTAAAGTAATTTTTTAAATGATATTAAAATTTTAATATAAAAAACTATATTAAATATGTTTTTTCTTGTCTTAATTAATTTACAAAACAGAATTTTAATTCAAGATCGTTTCGCGAATATTACAAAGTAAATTGTTTAATTTACGTTTTTTTTTTATTGGATAAATCTATGAAGTTTAGTTAAAGAGAACCTAAATTTCAGTATAACAATATCTTTTTCCAGCTAAAAATAATTTTGTCGAGTTGGTTTGATTTAAAAAAGAAATCTCACGTCTTCCATTAATTTCCTTTTCTAACGCTATGGAATGAAGAAGCTTTTCTTCTGTACGATAAAGCAAATAAATTATCACATATCTGTGCCAATATTATCGCTATATCAACAATACATTCTTTTCATATGAAATTTCTAAAGTAAACCGCGCTTTTTTTAATGCTAAACTATTAATAATTCCAAACTAAGGAATTTTCGGGGAGGAGCAAATTAAACAATTCTGGCATTCGTTTCCTCTTCGTTCTTTTTGCTTTTTAATCAATGGAAGACCTTAAATTTTCTATTTTGTGCTAAGTTTGTACACAAGTAAACCAACACTTCTTATCATCTGTGTAATTAGGCTGCCACGGGGTTCCTATCGCCGTCACGCAGACTTCACGCTGTTTGCACGTGCTACATAGCATGACGTCACCGATCGATCATGTTCACAAGTTCGACGATTCGATTTCCAGAAATGCGCCTTTTGTATAATGTATGCATGTCACTGCTTTTAAATTCTCCATCAGCCACAACCTGAAGTCGCAAATATCAAAATGCCGCCATTTTTGCCGTAAAAAACGAAAAATATTATAATTAAAATTGAATAAAGGAGCAGAAATAAACTTTATTAAAAATTAAAGCTTTAAAACATTGTTTGGGAACGGAACTTTTTAATAAACTTGTATAAATTTGTTTTTAATAATCGAATCCTGCATTAAATAATAATCTAAATAGTACGAAAGATAATTTAATAAAATATTTTCGATTTAATTAAATTTTAAAAAGTACTTTTGACTTTCTTCCGTCCGGCGAATTAAATTGAATCACGAAAAGAAAGAGGAAATACAAAATTAAGTAAAACTTAATTAAAATTTTAATGAATGCCTTTTAATTTTTTCTTAATCCTTTTAAAATTTTAAAAATGCAATCGATTGATATTAATAAATAAATAAAGCCGACGCAAAGACATTGATTTACACATTTACATATTGTATTGTGATCTTTAATCCTAATTGCACTTTAATTGAAATTAAAATCAGCCAACAACAACAAAAATTATTATTTGAATTAATAATCGAAACTGTTCGTAAATTATTTATCTTAATTATTCAATTCCTAAATTAAATAATCTTTAAAGAAACTTAGCTAAAAAAAAAATAACATATACTAAATAGGATTCGAACCCGCATCCTTTCGCTTCAAGGCAAATAGTAAACTATAATAGATAAATGACCTCTCTTATTTTACAAATTAGAATCCTGTTAGATGTTTATTTTACGTAAAAAAATAAGTCTACAATTCTTTCGAAAGTCAAAGTTGATACTTGATTTTACAAATAGAAAAACATTTATCGAAACACATACAAAAACAATTACAAATGATTAAGAAGAATTTGTTATTTTTAGTAACATAAAAATCTGGCAATCTGATCTTTACCAACAACATAAAATATCGAAAACATCATCATCCTATTTACTTTATGAATCGACATTGGAAGAGCTTCATCGTCCTCGTAATTTATCTGACCTTTCTTTATTTGATAGTATAACACATTTGGTTTACATAAACAATACACATGTGTTGCTATAGAAACGATTTTTCAATTTCAAAAGACAATTTATATAACAATATCATGAAGTTTATGAGTAGTGAAATTTTTTAAATTGATTAATTAAGAAATTAAACAGCACTTACATTTCCTCCATGTTCTAATAAGTTAGGTTGACTTATTCTTCTATTATTTTCAAGTAACTTCTTCCCAAAACTGAAATAAAAAGAACAAATTATTTAAACATTGAAAATGTATTTCATGTAATGAAATCATATAAACATTGATTTTCTAAAATAAGAAATTCTCTGAGGATAACCACTGATCAGTATTGCCATTGCGAAGTCAATGCTGAATAAAAACCAATGCATCATCCAATATAAGCCTATAAATATATACATGTATACATACTAGTCTGTATGTTTGCTTGACTTCGGTCCCAATAGATAAATCTGTAAGAAGATTGTTTCGCCTCTTAAAAAAATAACTTCTCTCTCAATCTACATATACGAAAACTTCATACAGTAACATTTCTAGAAGTAATTTCGGTTTAATATATAATAACGGTTCAAATTGTTACTGATAAATGCAGCATTTTCCCTTTCCCCCTTCTACCGTTGGGTGTGGCAATTTGACAATAGACTCGTTACACAAGAAATTAATGGCGACTTTCATTTTTTTTTCCTCCTCAATGTCCTTTCTGTTTTTCATAAATGAATTGGTTATGTGCACCCGCGTGTACGGATATTGTTATATATTTTGTTATTAATTTTTGTTGTATCGCCGCTGACGTCATGCCAATTGTCTACAGAATGCGTGTAGCCAGGAAACACTTTCATCAAAGTCCGGAAAATCCATTAATACCTCATCATGCACTGCTTTTCCTTTCTCTTTCCGACTTTCCGCATAACAATAATTAGATAAATACACAAACATAAGCAAACTGACAGAATATTAAATCTTCAATTAGAACTACAAAGAATTTCAATTACTATTAATATTTTTCAAAATATCTACATTTAAAATTTCTGAAGGGAAGGGAATTATTATTATTATTATTTTATTTTTTTGTCGTAGCTATAAACGTTTCATATAACAGAATATTTTAAAAACAGAGGAGTAGTTTACATAATTTAATATTTAATCGAGCAGCCACACCCAAGCCTTTGGACGTTTTTAATATTTAAAACAAACAAGAGTCCATTCCAGTACATTTTGGCGTATTAATTTATGCATTAAATTTCGTTTATTTATTTATTTTGAATGCTTCGTTATACACGTAAATTATTATAAAGGACGAATAATACGAAGCTTGTTCTTTTATGTGGAATCTTCTCTCTCTATGAATTAATTTCGCCTTTCAAATGGAAATCATTTTTTTCTCAAACTAGTTCTATTATAATGAAAATCATCATCATCATCATCAAAAGCAGGTTTCACTTTAAACGTCTTGTGTGCCCGTACGTAATTATACCATCCTAAAACAATTATTAAAATCGTTGCAATAACCGTTTTAAGTTTCGTAACAATTTCCTAATTATGTACAATGACCCGAAGAAAAATTTAAATAAAAACTAAGTCATGGTAAGTCAATTAAAAATTTAGTTCATATTTTTACAGCAAGCTTATTCTAGAAACCATAATAATAAATAACTTATTCTAATATTTTCTAAATTATTAAATAATAAAACCCATTATTTTAGCACTGAGCAGTAAAATTCGACTAATCCGGATTAATATTTTAGAGTAGTTTTACTATTATCATCCTCCCAATTATGGATTCTTCTATTTATATCCTCTACAATGTATGGATCGATTACCATTGATCATTACTTTGTATACTTTTAACGTGCGTATATCTTTATTTTTCTGCAGAAAATAATTATGGAAAATTATTTTAAGCTTAAGAATAAAGATAATTAAAGAGGGAGGGAAGAAAATTAATTAAATTCAAACATTACGTTTTAATAATGTAAACTAGAAAGAAGTTAGATTAGAAGTCGGACAATGCATAGCTGACAATAACCTGTCTTAATTGGAATACTTTTGCTACAATCATTTATTGACTGCGAACTTTTGCATTGAATCAAAAGACAACAATGGAAAAGGAATCAAATGGGGTAGAGAAAAGGTCAAGTTAAGGCGTGTGGTGTTCTAAGCTAGAGCCAAGGACACCCCACAATAGAAAAAAAATACATTAAAAATGTTGTCTAGCGATACCTTAAAAAAAACGCAAAAATGTTAATTTCTATGATAAAAAGCGCAAGTTTCTAAACACAAAAAGAATTTTTTAATTTCTTTTTCTTCCTTCAAAACACGCAATTTTTTAAAAAATACAAAAATGTAAATTTCGCATATTTTACTTCTATATATTTATATAAGTATAATATGTAAATTTTGCTGTTTAAACAATAACAAAAATAATCGTTCCTTTCAAAAGAAAAATTATTTTTAGCAGCGTAAATTCACGCCGATATAATCTTTTAAATAAATCTCTCTTTTTAAGAAAATACGATTATAAATGTTAAAAATAAGAAGTTAATTTGTTATATTTTTAAAAATAAACGTAACGCCGATTATTTTTTTTATTAGAGCAATATAAAATAAAAGAAAGAAAGCGTTTTAAAATCAAGAACGAGACATACAATGAAAAGAAAATGATTTAGTTTCTACCTTATTCTCAAAAGTACAGTTAATAAAACGAAAATTTCTCAATGTTTAATTTAATAAATTACACGAAAGAGGTAAAAATCGATACGTAAACATCGTAAAGGCGAAAATAAAGTTTAAAAAAAAAACACACCTTAAAAACTTGGGATTATTCTTTAGTTCCGCCAAAACATCCTCCATTCCCGGTTTCTGGGACATTGTCGCTAAGCCTAACACAGCCTAGGACACACCTATACGCAATCACCTATACATTGACCAGGTACGGATTCAGCAGTCGATGTATAGAAACATAAAGACGTCGATCTCCTCATGCTGCCCGATCGGAGTCGGAGAAGATGCCTTTCATTAAAGTGATCCTTAACAAAGAAAATTGCCTTCTTTTCTAAACAGTCGATGCCAAGTCTTCACATGGCGGCCACGGGTATGACTCATTCCTTCCCACGTGAGCGACAAGCGACCCACTTTGTATTTACTATGCCGGTGAACTGTGTGTGTGTGTGTGTGTATGGCAGAACAGTAGAGGAAAGTGAAGCCAGCTGATTTCTAAACTCCCACCTATGACGTCGAATTTTGTTTATAATGCCATATAAAGTTTGTTTTATCCATATACATAAAAGAAATTCGTAGAAGGAGGTTAGAAAAATCCTTTTGGCGACCCCCCAAATTATATAGAACGAGTTAAACCGTGGGTTTAAAACGTTGATACACGTTGTAAAAGGGTGAACAACAAAACGTAATACCCTTTTTGATCTGTGTAAATATTGATGGAAAAGGTAATTGATGCCGAGGATTAAAATTAGATAAAAAGTTTTAGATTAAAATAAACACTTTGAATATTTTTTTTTTTTTTTAAAAAGAAGAAAATTAATGGAAGACTCAAAAATATGGTTGAAAATTTTACATCAATTTCGACATATAAATTAGAATAAAATAGTCTGTCGCTAATATAAATCATCCAACAGCAATCGATTTTTAACCAAACAAAGTGTGAAACTTTGTTGGAAAAATAACAGATATGATAATCGCATAGTTCATTTTTCGGAGGGTTTTTTTTATTATTCTTCTTTATTATTTTCTCGGAATAAGTATCAAGCTATAAAGTAGTTGAAAATCCTTCCTGACAGAAGATAGCAGCTGCAATTTTCTCCCTGCAGCAGAGGGATATATTTGGGAGAATAAAGAATAAAAAAAAATGAAAGATGGATTTAATTAATGTAACAACAATTTTTTATCATACACATTTTTTTCTATACAAAAAAACACCTCTTTGTTCCTTGATGGTAGAGAAGACGAAAAAAAAACACACACACAAAACCTTTATAACTAGTGCTGCCATCTCGTGTCGATAATGGAAACTATAATTGTCAGACACGAAAATGAGTTTAAGGCCCTTTTCTCATCAGGAAAGTTAATTGGAATCCAGATCAGAAGATAAAACAGGCGATAAAATTATAATAACGTAGTTTGAGCGGAAATCCCACAGTAATCATTTAAGATAAATCCTTTAGGTTAAAAACAATAGTTGCTATAACTCAGAAAAACAATCCTCTAGCTAAGAATACTATATCTATCTTAATGTTACTACCACAGGATACCATTCTTCAGCAAGATAACGACGTACCCTACCAGTATTTGCACTATCTTACGGTCTGAAGTGAGAAAAATAACAGCCAGAATACTGTTCTCTAGGGAACTACCTAAAAATGGTTTCCAATGATCATAGATTTTATCATCTCACATAACTCTTGTCGTTAAAGTTCGAGAGGTACAATATAATATTATGGAAGTATTGCTTTCCCTTCATACAATATGCTGTAAGGGGCATGTACGGATCAAACTGATAAATATATTAATGTTCTTCTAGAGATTGTTCTTTGAGTGTTCTTCTTTAAATTTTTTTTTTTTTTATCAATTTTTAAATATTAAAATAAAAATTTAAGATATATTCAGCGTGTTTAATAGTGCACATATTTCTTGGCAAGGAATAATCCGAGATAAAACATTTTTAATTTTTCACATTTTATTTTTAGAATCCACGTTCAAGTATTATTAATATATTTTTTCTTCTTTTCGATTTTAAAATTAATTTTTATTTATATGAATATTTTATTTTAAAATGCATTAAAAATTCCTGGACATTTTTAATTTAAAGCCGTTAAAAATTATGTATTTTTTTATTTTTTATTTTTTAATTCATTATACGGTATGGAAAAAATGAAAATCTGCAATTTAAAAACGTCTTAAATATATTTTTTACTTTATAAAGTAGGAAATTTTGTCTCGAACTAGCGTTATAAATGAATATCCTTGATGTAGGAAGTGTGGGTAGAGTACATTATTTCTTGCTTCAACAATAACAAATGTTTTCAATACCTAAAATTTACATTCAATTTAAATACTGAAAACATTATTATTACACTAAACACGTTGAAATTACAAATTGAAAAAAAAAAAAAAAAACACTTCAAGAAGCGTGGTTATTTGTTTTAATATGCAAAATTGGGGATAAAGGTACTTTTAAACGCTCACAATTTCATTACTAAAGT